ATGGAATTGGGCTAATTGCGGGTTTTATTCGTTACATTCACCTTGCAATAACGCACAAATTTCAGAAACCAACCAACTTGGATTCGCGTTCTCTGAGCCTTGGATGAATTTATGGCTTTTTGCGATTCTTATCAGTATTCTTTTCGGCGTTGCCTGTAGAGCAGGATTAAGTCGCTAGAAAATTCAGCTCAAAATAAAATTTAGAAGCTCTGTTTTTATTGTCAAGTGGGTAAAACCTTAAAATGGTGGAGTCTGGCAAGGCTATTTTTAAAGTACGCTCCTCCGAATTGGAGGACTCCAAATCTACAGACTCGGTCTGGTGAACGACCAAAGGGAGAGGAGCTACACACACTTGAATACTGCGTACCAATATGCCTTGCAATTTGCTGCCTATCCGATGCTTAAATGATACCAAAATTCAGAGTAAATAGGTTTTCGAGACCTTAGGTTCCAAACATTGATGAAGAACCGATGATTATATTTTTTCACACTGCTATGATATTGAGTCGTCATTCAAGATGTACTGATTGACTCGAAAACCGACTTCCTCACGTAGCCGATTGCAATGGCAAGGCGCAAGTTTGCCTTATCAACCATCCCACGTTAACATGTGATATGGGAAATTCGTGTTTGCCCTATAGTTCGAGGGGCACTCGTGGCAGTGCTGTGTAATTGTAAAACATGTCGATATTTGTACTACCCGAATTCGAGTGCCACTGTAGCTGCTGATGAGAGCCAAGCGGGGTTGAAACTGTAGTCCAGTTCAGCCTGGCTTAGTATAACTTTTGGGTAGCAAGGCTATGCTAAACGAATTGTAAAAGTGAATCCCACTTATTTGATTAAGGGAAAAGCCATCTTAAACACCCTAAGATGACTGGATTTTTAACGGCTACCTCAGAAGGTTAAGAATTCTGGAATGTATCGTTTCATTTTCGAAATAGTAATGTAGGCCTTTCATTGTCATAATCATTCGTTTTTTGTCATTTCAGTCGTAATCTGAGCATCGAGCGTCCTAGTTACCATAGCCTGAACAGACTGATAGCACAAATAGTCAGTTCTATCACGGCCTCTCTTAGGTTTGATGGTGCTCTCAACGTCGACCTGACAGAGTTTCAGACAAACCTTGTGCCGTATCCACGTATCCACTTCCCACTGGCCACCTATGCTCCCGTAATCTCAGTCGACAAAGCCAACCATGAACAGCTGAACATCTCGGAGATAACAAACGCCTGCTTTGACGTCAACAGTCAAATGGTGAAATGTGACCCTCGGAACGGAAAGTATATGGCTTGCTGCCTGCTCTACCGGGGCGATGTGGTGCCGAAAGACGTGAACAGCGCGATTGCCGCGATTAAGGCGAAAAAGTCCATTCAATTCGTCGACTGGTGTCCGACTGGATTCAAGGTGGGTATCAACTATCAGGCACCAACCGTGGTGCCCGGTTCTGAGTTGGCCAGTGTCAAGCGGGCTGTCTGTATGCTGAGCAACACGACTGCAATAAAAGAGGCCTGGCAGCGGCTTGATCAGAAGTTTGACCTAATGTTCCAGAAGCGGGCCTTTGTCCACTGGTACGTGGGTGAGGGCATGGAGGAGGTGGAGTTCACGGAAGCCCGCGAAGACTTGGCCGTACTGGAGACCGACTACGAAGAGGTGGCAAGTGACACTCTGGACCATGAGGAGGAAGGGGTTCAGGATGAATTCTGAAAATATCCCAGTCCAAGTAGCATCAACTGCGGCCCACCGGCCTAGTTCGCTCAGCTATTTGTCTATACATGACATACATATTGTACTGCTAACTCATATATGCACATCTATTTATCCATTTATTTACTTATTTGTTTACATACTTATACACTTATGTGTGTGCCTAAACATGCATCATCCGCCTTAAAAGATATGCTAAAAAGTAAAGTTATACGCTAATGCAGGATGTAAACGTGCAGAAAAAATGCTTTTAAAGTTTCATTTCAGCAATCGGTCTCATCGAAAACCGAAGCAGGATTCATTAGGAATTAAGCGAGAAGCAATACTTTACGGAAAAAAACACAGATATACTATATCAAAAGTAAAGAGTGTCAGCTGCAAAGCTAGTCACTTCGTATGCCTAATTGTGTTGTCTTATCATTTCGTTTATTGCGCCATGTTTACCACGCATGCTGGCAGATGCATAAACTTAATTAATGAACGGAAAAGTCTGCTTTCTTACGTAAATAAAACCGTGTACGATGTGGTATTCTGTATTGTGACTATGTGATGTATGCTAGCTCTAACTAGACTTGAAGTTATTCCAGCCTCCTCTTCTTGCTTAGCAGTTTTTCGTGCTCACTCACTCTGTCTTTTCTTCCTTAAGCTTATTCAGCAGCCATCAATGATTTTCACTCACTTTCCAACATTTGTTCGTCCTATTCAGGATGTTGGTTACTTTGCTTATTTCCATTAATTCCATAATCTTCCATTTATACGTAAAGTCCACGTAGCCTGGAAAACGGTACTAGTCATTGGCTTAGCCAGTTCAGCGTTTAGGACCAAGCTACCTATAAGGACAGTTTTGGGTTTATACAAACTCTTCTGGGTTCGTCGACAGATCTCCCAACCAGAGACATAAATATGGAATCACAAAATCTTGTAATTCCCAGAATAATGTTGCGATTTTTCGTAAAGTCTAGTTTCTCGTTCTGAAGATGTATGTCACATGACAGATGAACGCTCAGCATGGATTCTTCAAAGTCGCACGATGAGAAGAATCCATCACTTTTCTCTCTAAGGCAATAGTCCCTCGGTTTCGGGTTAAGCCAATTCACGAATTCTTTCCAAACAACTTTTCCTTCCAGCTGAAAAGTTGAATTACACTAAATCATTAAGGAAGACTTCGAAACCCAATTTTTATTCTACTTTCTCATCTTCAGCAGAAAGCCTTCGGAGTTCATGTTAAATAATTAAATAATTGACAACTGACTTAGCCGTTATATTGTGTCACGACACTAGCGGTATTGTGTTGCATTAACAATCAAAGTTCAGAGGTAAGTCTGACGATTTTGACTAAGACACTTTAAATCACGAATACTATGGCATAGGACATGAGACTAGGTACGTTCCACAAGGCCTCTCTGACGCTCCGACAGAGTTGCGAAAACAAGGTCAATCCAACTCTATAAGACTAAGGGAGACTGCGAACAAACAGAAGACCACACTAGCTTGATTCGCATATCTACGAT